CAATTAAACATTCAATAAATCAATCAAACAATCAATCAATCAACCAATCAATCAACCAAATAATCAATCAATCAATTTAAAAAATATAAAAAATTTACACCCGGTACATGATTTTTTATTTTTATTTTTTTGAATGGGGCGGGTTAACCCCCAACATCCCCCCCCCCCCCCGGCCTATCCACCCCCTCAACACCCCTTCAGAAGGTCGTGTACGGAGGGCCCAAAGTCCGTACGTACGGCCCGTACCGAGGCTCGAGGTCCGTACGTACGGTTGTACGGGAGTACGGGAGTACGTACGGCCCGTATTCCTACGACCGTATACTCTGTTTGCCAGCTTCCGGGAAGCAATGGCTAGAGGGTGTATGTAAAGGGCGAGTCGAAGAATCCTGACGGACTGGCTTTAGTCTTGTCGGTTGTGCACTAGATCTCCCGGCGGATTGTGGGATCCGGGCAAAGACTGTGCAACGACTAAGTTGGCGGGGTGACGATCGCTATGGTGGATTAGCACGTGATGGCCGGGATCGTCAGTGCTCGTGAGAGGTTCGAGTCGAAAGTTGAGTGAATGCATGGTCTGGGGCCATGGTGGAATCTTATGGCGGAAGCGCCTCTTTTTGTCCCAAAACCTGTATCTTCGAGCGTGAGTTCTGATCACTCAGCTTCTAAGCTGCAATTTCCCTTGACAAGATTGCCGGACATTTTGTGATTGTTTTCTACTCTTTCCTCCCCTTTGATCTGTGTTTAGTCACCCTCACTCTCTCCTTCTGTTATGTTTTGTTATAATGAATGAATTATAGTAACTTTGCTTCTCTTACTTTGATATGTGCATGCAGTGGGTTGTATTAGAGAGCTTGTTGTAGTATAACTGGGATGATCATGATTGGTTGATCGACTGGATGATCTGGCTGCTTAGAGTGTCGAACGAATGATGTATGATTAGGAATAATTTTTGTGCTTGCTTAGAGTGTTGAACGGCCCCAACCCGACAGGGCGCCAACATCCTGTACCCCCGCCGTGCCCCTTCCCATACAACGAGGAAAGGACACGTCTATGCGAGTGGGACGTACGAGAAACCGTAGCTAAGATCGTAGGGTGCTACTACTTTCCTCCTGAAACTCGGTGTTCTGGATTCGTCGGTGCGGGTTTTGTTATTGTTGATACGCACTTTCCGCCCTATTCGTTGTTGTTGCCATTTAACGAGTTGATCGTCATCGCGTGGATGGCAGTAGAATCTAATTGGCCTACCACTCTGTGCAGCGATTGTTGTCGCTTCGGGCGTTACCGAGCCAAGGGTTTCCACTACTGCACACGTAGCGAGGACGAGCATAAGGAGAGGGCTACTCGATTGAAGCCCTCCACGTCGGACTCGGAGTTGTGTAACGAGCGTCGACGAGACCTCATCTGTAAACGGGATACTACGTGTGTACCCGCCCCCTTTCACGCGAAACGAAGAGCTACGGCTCGCTGGGAAGTTCAGCGATACTTTTTGGATTGAATTTTCCATAGCCGCGAACCCCGTGCACGCCTTTCTCTCTCCTAAACCCGCGTGGCGACGAACCTCCTTCTTTTTAGGGTCGGACCAACACGGGGGATTTCAGTTCTGCCTGTGTCCCCACACTCAACTTTTCCAAAACTCCTTGGCACACCCCATCCTCGCTGTCCTCCCAGGGCCCTTCCGTGAACCAAAACGCTCCGACCGGGAAGCAGCGCAGGGCGTGAGGTTGAGCGTCACACATATGCCAAGCGCGCTCGCTGCCAAGTGTACATGCCGTGCGCAGTCTGCTGCCAAGTGCAGATTCCAACCTCGCCTGCTGCCAAGCACACATGCACCGCGAGCTCCCCGCCAAGCATGCAAGGCACTGGCAGGCGGAAGCGCTCGCAGTCCGCACTTGACGCGCTCTGCATGCAGTCACATAGAGTCCCCCAAATGCGGGTGAGTGAGAGGGCGGCATGGTCCTATGGAGTCCCCCAAATGCAGGTGAGTAAGAGGGCGGCATGGTCCTATGGAGTCCTGAAACTAGCCCTTGTGCTGGCGGTAGGCTCGCCATACTGCCAACTTCGCGATGGCAAAAGCGACGAACGGTGATGCCTGGTCTCCAGCCCAGGCCCGACAAAATTCGACGTGAAATCTGTTTGTGGAGGGGTCCGAAGGACCACCCTCCACAAACCCCCGTTGACAGGCGGGGAAACCCGAAACACTCGCCACAACTTGTGCCGACGGCGTGGCGAGCCGTCAGACACATTTTTCATTCGCCAAGGAGTAAGGGCATGCTCACATTGGGACCTATAATCCCAAATTCCCCAAAGAAAAGGCTAGAGGGCTGCTCACACAGATTTGCCAAAGTATTAAATGTACTATTCGTGTGCCCATTTGTCAGCAGCCTGTGTCGCCGCTGAATTTTTTTTTTTTTTTTTTTTTTTTTTTGTAAAACGATCATTTAATTCCAGACGAAGAAAATGAATCAATCGAGGCCGGGGACCCCACAATTTGACCCGGTAGTTATCCCGGCAGCATCAGCCGGTTTAGCTTATCCATTCATTCTTATACTACAGACTGCAACGAACTTCTGCATCAAAACTGCTAGCTCAAACACTCAAAGTACTCAGAATATTCCTCAACACCGTAGCCCCGAACCAGTCTACTACCTACGAGTTATAATACCAACTACATCAATCGGATAGCCCTCAGATTGGACCGAACTCGGTCTAAAGTTGACCAAGAGGAATACAGCTTCCCTACCTATCTACGTGACACTCTCCACCCTCCCCCACTCTTGCGGTTTATAACAACCGCTGACTCGAACCAAGTGTCCTGGTTCAAAAAGAAACCAACTCATCTGTTCTCAATCCAACTGCACAACTTCAATTTCCCCTCTAGATTAATCTTCGCTAACTGCTCTCTAAAACACCAAGTCTTACGAAACCAGCTCTCGCCCCCTGCCCTATTACCACCCAAGACTTTTCGACTCCAGTCTGCTCTAATTGTCGCCGTCAAAAGAAGTTTGAAAGTGGCTCCCGCCTGTCTGCCAGACATGCCTTCCTTCTTAAACCTCAAACCATTTCTTTCCAACCAAACGACCCAGAGAAGGATTGCTCTGCACACTTGGGCAATGTACCCCCACCCCTCCTTTCTGCTAAAACTTTCCGGGACACCGCCCAGGAGGGCCCATCGTTGTCCCACGAACTCTGACAGGCCTGTAAACCGCTTCCAGTGGTACTTCCACCAGGTCCTCCATTTGCGGGACTTTGGACAGTCCCACCACAAGTGACTCATAGATTCCGGACCGTTTTGACACCGGTCACAGGCTGTGTCAACCGCCATACCTTTCTCTGACAACCATGCAGCAGTAGGAACCGCCAGGTGGGATTGCAGCCAGAGTAAGGATACCAGTTTCTGAGATGGAAAAAGCTCGAGCTGGGTCCTGATCTGACCCATTTCCTTAGCTGACAGCGGGGGCTGCTCCGGGACTTCTTTCTGCCACCTTGAACCAATCTTCTCAACGGCTTTGCAGGGTGCTGACTTCAGTTTCTGAAGAAGTTTCGCATTCAACTTATCCAAACCCAGTTCAGATCCGTCGTTCCATTTCCAACCCCAGGCAGCTACATCGATCCTTAGCTGCCTCAGGGAGGTCCCATTGCAGATCAGACAAGGGACCATTGGGAAACCTTCAACTTCAGGATTTTGCATTGTAACTCTTACTTCCACAAATTCAATCAAGCCGTAGTGTATATGCATCCCCACCCGTTCCAGTGTTGGTTGGGTCAAGTTCTCCTGTTTGTATGTCTCCATCCAACATTTCCCTTGTCCGTCTTCTGTCCAGCTTTCCAATCTGAAGAACAGTTCCGAGACCTCAGCTTCCCTCTTGTACCACGAGCCAGGACTATCAACACCTCCTGGACCCAAAAGGTCTATCCAATGAGAGGGTATAGACCTCTTCAACTGTTCTGCTCTCGCAACCTGATCCGGGAGTTGCCCTAAAGCCATCTTCAGCTGCTGAGGCGACTTTCATTGATTCGTCAGATTATCCCATAAATCTTCCACCTTAGACACACCTTTTTGCAACCAGCTTAAGGCAAAGTTTCCCGGTCTCCTTTCCAGAGAAAACCAGTTGCCCCCTGCATCTCTGATCATCTGGTTCTCAAACAGCGGTTGTCTCCTGACTTCCGCCTTGGTCTTAGGGGGGCACAACAAATTTGGTTTGGCCTTGTTCCATGCCAGGAGGACGTTTCGCCAGAATTTTGGCCTCGGGCAGCGTCTGCTGAAAGTCTCAGACATAATGCCTACCCACACATCACTTGGTCTGGTCAGTCCCCAATCTTCCGTCAGCAGGGCCTCTGCTAGCAAGATCCAATCAGCTTCCTGGTCCCCCGTGACCACCCTTATCAGCCATTTTGCCAACAACGCTGTGTTCTGAAGAGCCGGGTCTATCAACGTCAGGCCACCTTCTTCCCTGGGCAGGCAAATGGAATCCCAAGCCACTTTTCAGATGTACCCTTGATCTGCTTTGCTGTCCGGTTTCCAGATGAACCGCCTCGCTGTACTTTGCTGTCCGGTTTCCAGATGAACCGCCTCGTGGTTCAAAGGCGGAATGGATGGATGCTGGCTTAAGAATAATTTCGTTGAAATTGGACGTCTTCTCTCGTATAGCTGCCTTTCATCGTAACAGAGAGGAACAGGCCTTGAGGTGGGATGTGGAGGTAGCGGAGGCGAAATTGGGAGAACACCCAGTCTCCGATCTGTTCTGGGCGGAAGAGAGAAAGGATAGGTTGCAAAAGTGGGAGGCCCGGCAAATTCAGAAACAGGAAAGGTGGACGCAGATTATGCAGGTTAAGGGGATTGTTGCAGCGGATCGGATGTCCAAAGACATTTTCCAAAGGCTCCTCCCTAGGAGCAATGCGGTCCAAATGAGGGAATTACAACATCCTCATTTGTTGAACCAGCCGGTGGCATCTTCCAATCAGGATATGTGTGAGTATGCGGCAGCATATTTCAAGGATATCCTGTCGACCAGGCGTCTGTTTGACGACCTCGACACAGATATGTCAGACTTGTCACCGTTGTGGAATAACATGAAGACCCGCATACCAACGGAGGCCAAAATCTGGTTCGACCGCCCAATAACAAGGGAGGAGCTAGCATCCACAGTGAAGTGCATGGCAGGCGGCAAAGCTCCGGGGGAGGATGGGATCCTGGTTGAGTTCTATGCAGCCTTCCTTTCGACGTTCTCGGCGGACCTTGTTGACATGTTCAATGTCATTCTGCAGGGGGATAATCTTGGCAAAACAATGTCGAGGGGTGTGATATCTCTGTTATTTAAGAAGGGGGATAGGAGCGAGGTAAGGAATTGGAGGCCAATCTTCCTTCTGAACGTTGTGTACAAGCTACAGGCTAAGACATTGGCCAATCGGCTCGCCAAGTTCCTTCCTAACTTGGTACAGAGAGACCAAGGAGCCTTCGTCCAGGGGAGATCAATTTTCGAGAATATCCTTATGGCAATCGAGGCTCTTGAACTGGTGGACTGGGAGGAGGCAAATGTGGCAGTTCTGCTTCTGGACCTAGAAAAGGCCTACGGCAGAGTAAATTGGTCCTTTGTTCTCACTACTTTGAGAGTGGTGGGCTTCGGAGAACAGTTCTGCAGGTGGGTTAAAGCCATGTATAGCTTATCTACGGCAGCGGTTTGTGTCAACAGTCAAATTTCTGAGGAATTTCAGCTCACCCGCTCATTGCGACAGGGCTGCCCGCTGGCCCCGTTGCTGTTTGTGCTTCATTTGGAGCCATTACTTTGTAACATCTGTTGCCATCCCGAGATCACAGGTTTGGTGCTGCATAATGGAAGAGAAAGTCGAGTGAAGGCGTTGGCTGATGACCTGTTCGCCATTTCTCAGAACTCCAGCAGATCCTTGGACGCGCTGAAGAGCTGTTTAGTTATGTTTGGGGAGCTATCAGAGGCTGCTGTAAAATGGAATAAGTCGGTTTTCTTCCTCCCTCGATGCCACTCCTTGAGCGTGCAGTGGGGCATGGAGAGAGTTCCAGCAGGGACCGCAGAACGATTCCTGGGAGTTCAAGTTGCCCTGCGCGACTGTTCTTCCTCTCAGGACTTGATCTTACAAGAGAGAGTTGCGAAACGAGTGAAGGGATGGGGCAAAGCAGGAAACCTCTCGATTATTGGGAGAGCGTTAGTCATTATGGTCTCGGCCTTTGCTTTGCTGTGCTACGTGGCGGCAGTTCGGCGAATAGCTCCTGGGACGCTCAAGACGGTTAAAAGCCGCTGCGGTCACCTCTGGAGGTGACTGCAATGCGCTATTTATTTTTTAGCATTTTCTTGGAGAATTAGTGAAAATTCGTTCACAAACGTTCTTGCACAATTTGTGGATGGCCCTGTGTGAACCACCAACTTACCAAATCGCCATTTCTCCAGATAGCCACGGCCTTGTCCTATCCGAAAAGGTACAGCAGTGCTTTACCTCGGCCCTTCCCAAATCCGCATATTTTGTATTTGGCGGATTTGGGGTCGCAGTCAACTTTGTACTTTCCATTGACTTGCCGGGGGAATAGGAACCGGGCTGTTGCTCCCCAGAATGGTAGGAGCCAGAACCAAGTGGTTCTGAAAAAAAAGTAATAATAAAAAAAATGTGCGAGTATGGCGGCCTAAGTGCAACCAGGGGCCTACTTGCCAAACTTGGCATATGGCTGAAACAGTACCTGAGAGCACGTCCTTGGGGCCATCCGTTAAAACTGGAAGGATACAGAGAAGAGTAGCACGGTCCCCTGCATGGATGACGGCCATAAACATAAATCGAGAAATCCCCCCCCCCCAAAAAAAAAAAAACCTTTCTCGGCCTTTTGGCTAAGATCAAGTGTAGCATCTGTTCTGATCAGTTTAATATCTGATCCGTGACCCATCGGGTCACAAAAACAAAAAACAGAAAAAAAAAACAAAAGAGGAAAAAAAACAGTATCTGAGAGGACGTCCTTCGGGACATCCTCTAAAATTAGAGGGATAAAAAGAAGTCTTTTTTTTTTTTTTT